ACGAGTTACTTTAAAGCATGCCGATCTGGGCGGCCGAGCCGAGCGTAGGGTACTTGGGCGCAGGGAATACTATCGCTTTAGCAGTCGAGCCCGCGTTCCCACTTCAAGTCACAAAGAGCCAGAACTGCATATGTTGTCTAGAAGACTGTGAGAATCAAGGAGAAGTGACAACAATAGGAGAACAGATGTTTTGTTCACTCCCACCTCTCTCTGTACATGGCTTGATGCAAATGGAATACCAATGTCACAATATAACCATGGCCAAGAATGAATTTGCATTTGTTGTATTGAGCCAAAGCTTTTTGCAAATCGTTCCCAGCAGGGGCACTTATCTAGGAGGTACTCAGGTATCCTTGATAGGCACCAATTTTTCAACGAGAAGAAGTTTCATTCACTTTGGAGATGCAGTTTTGTCAAATTCGGCTTTATCTTCAACTTTGTGCCTTGTCGTCACGCCCGCGCACAAACCAGGCAATGTCAGCATTACCATCAGGTCTGAACATGGCTTTTCATCACCCTTGACTTTTGAGTTTCATCAAGGACGAGATGATCCCAATGATTCCAAAGACGTTGATCATCGGAAGGATAAGCAGAAAAGCGATAGGACCAGCAAACTCTACGTCCAGCCTTCCTTTGGACCGTTGATGGGCGGTACGAGAGTGGCTGTGACTTTGAGCGGAGTTCCTGCAGGCTTCGGGCAAGATTATTACACTTTGAAGATTAACAACATACTAGTGCCATGCTTACAGAAAGAAAATGCAAGTATCTGTACGATCCCACCATCGAAAAGTGCTGGGCTCGCACACTGTGAGATGCACCCTTCTTCGAGCAAGAGCCCCCTTATGGATTTCGAAGGAGACTTTATGTTTCTCAAAGCCGAACAAATCGAGAAGATTTCACTTCGGACCCTGCAGGATCAGATACGATCCGTAGAAATCCAAGGACACAACTTCTGGAACAGTCGACACTTGATGTGCAAATTCGGCTTTCGGCATTCCGTCTCTGCAGTCTGGGTGTCTAGTACCCTCGTCACGTGCCCAGTACCTCATATCGATGCGCCTCCACAGGGCCTTAACCTGACAGTACAGATCAGCAACAACGGGATAGACTTCTCAACCCCCTCCGAGGCAGCACGCTTCATGTACACCTCCTTGCGCCCAATAGCCAAGCTACAGCCGACCACAGGGCTGACCAGCGAGACTACGCGGGTACTGATCACGGGTCAAGCAGGCTTCGGCGGAAGGATTGCACAAGAGAGCGGAGGGCAGGTGCTGTGTCAGTTCGGTAGCAGCAAGGCCTTGGGAGGTCGGGTCTTGGACGCAGGTATCGAGTGCGATGCTGAGTCAGGCATAGAAGGCAAGGTGAGTGTGCGGGTCTCAACAGATGGGGGGAGGTCGTGGGAGGACTGGGGGCTGCGATTCGAGTTTGTGAAAGGGATCGACATAGCCCGAGTAGATCCCTCGACAGGGCCTGTGGCAGGGGGAACACGGGTGACGATAGTCATGGGTCAGCGGTATGATAGCGAGTCGAGCGGGCTGTCATGCATGTTCGGGCAGACTCCGAGCGCAGGCGTTGCGGAGGTGCTATCCAGCGGAGAGCTGGTCTGCGTTGCACCTGCGGCCAAGACTGAGGCAATCGTGAAAGTGTACGTGCTGTCGGACGGTCAAATCAGGAGCACGGGGTCTGCCTTCCGATACCGGCACTGGCCCAAGGTCATGGGCCTCGGGCCCCGATCGGGACCAGCGTCAAGGGGACAAACGATCACACTCCAGGCAGCGGGCGGGTCGTGGGGACTAGAAGACCCCGCGTGGTGCCGAGTGAGCGGGGGGCAAGCTTTATCGGCAGCTTTCATGACTGAGAGCTTGATGACGTGCCGGCTACCTCCTCATGGTCGCGGGAACGCAACGATAGAAGCAAGCTTCAACGGAAGGGACTGGGTAGAGGTAGCGGGGAGGTTCGAGTATAGAGAGCGATGCCTCATCACGGGGGTGGAGCCTTCGCTCGGACTGATGGGAGGGATCACGAGTGTCACGTTGACAGGAGTCGGGTTGAAGGGCCTAGGCAAGAGCCGGTGCCGCATCGGGAGCAGCTGGGGGTCAAGGCTACTGGAGGTTTCAGACGCGCTTGTGATTTGCGGAGCACCAGAGGGCGGGTGGGGCTCTGTGATGCCTCCGGGAGATGTCGGAGAGGCAGATGGCGGGCGTGTGAAAGGCCTCACGGTAGGTTTGATGCTGGAAGGAGCTAGTCAGGAGGCGTGCGAAATGAAGGAGGCATACTTTCTGTACTCACCGCTGCGAATAGACAGCGTTTCGCCTTCCAGCTTGGTACAAGGTCGTCAGACGGTAGTGACGGTGGTCGGACAGACTTTCGATGAGGCCAGGAGGGTAGGATGCAAGTACTCGGAAGCTGCTGGAGCGTCCTTGCAGAGCGGCGCATCCTGGGATACACAGGAAGGGACGGTGATCACGTCGTCCATGGCACTATGCAAGAGTCCCCAGATGTCCGGGAAGAGCGAAGACTTGTCACTCCAGGTCAGCTACGATGGTGGACAGCTCTCGTCGAGCCGACTGTCGATACGTTATATCCCAGAGCCGACGATTACAAGGCTAGAGCCAAGCGCTGGGTCAAGCGCAGGCGGCCAGGTGATCACGGTGATTGGGAGCAACATGAGAGCATCCAGGTCGGGCACCTACTGCCTTTTCGGGAACCGAGGTCAGATGCCAGCCTTGCATGTCACGACCAGCGCTGTAAAATGTCTTTCTCCGTTTAATAGCAAGGGTGCCAATGTTTCTTTTTCCCTTCAAGTTGGGGAACACATCTTCTCTACACTGCTGAGGTTTTACAGTGATTTGGAGTTTGGCTTTGCTCTTGGTCCAAGTATGGGACCGGTACGAGGTAATACACAAATACGGTTTTTGACATCGTTCAATGGGCCTCTGTACTTGGAGGATGAGCGAATGAATTGTTCAAGAACGGACTCTTTTCTTTTTTGCTTGGTCTTACCTTTGAAATCTTTTGGAAATAGAATCCAACCTTTGGATGTGAGCATTCGATCCGATCAAGACACAAACCATATTGTTTCAAGATATACATATTATCAAGAAGAAGTGGTAAGCAAAATAGAATTGCTTTCGGTAAATCAATTCGCCAACACGTGCGAATTCATTGTATATGGTGAAAATTTCGTCCCAAGCTCCAAAATGATGTGCAAAACTTGGATTGACGGAGATTATCATTCCATATCGAAAGCAACAGCTTACACCAACACTGAAGTAGCTTGTACTCTTACAAACGTAAATCTTTCATCTCGCATATCAATTCAAATCAGCAACAACGGGGTCGACTTCTCCTCCGCGAGCGCGACCTACACGTACGAGCGAGCCCCTACCGTCACATCGCTGAGCCTCCTTGCCCTTGACGGGAGCTCTGGTCAGGTCGAGCAGGACCACGGACGCACGGTGCGGGTGATCGGGAAGCACTTTGTCGCAAGCCCGCAGCTGAGGTGCAGCCTGCCGGGGGTCGCCAGATACATCACGTCGTCTATGGTCGATTGTGTATCAGGAGGGGGCCGTGTCGGGGGGAACCTGACGGTCGAGGTAAGCAACAACGGTCAGGACTGGAGCAGCGGAGGCTTGGGGCTGCTCGCTTGGGAGGATACGCCCCGCTTCTCCGAGGAGGTCCAGCTTGAGCCGACCATGGGTCCCAGCAGAGGCGGAACACAGGTCACCGTCCGTCTGCTTGGTGCGGAGGGGCTCCAGGGCGTATCTTTATCCCTGCAGGTGGGACTAGAGGGCAGTGCAGAATGCCGCTACCAGAGCGGTACAGAGTACCGGTGTCAGATGCCCGAGGTACGCTCGACGACGAACCGTGTGCTGTCCCGATACACGGTACCGGTACACCTCGTCATAGAGGGACAGCCGGCTTTGTCACGCGGAGGAGTAGTGTACACGTACTACGTAGAGGAGAGAGTGTCCGGGCTATCACCTTGCTCAGGGCCAGCGGAAGGGTCAACCCAAGTCGCCGTCACAGGGTCCGGCTTCCTCGAGGTAGCCAGCCTCACCTGCCGCTTCGGCGCGAGTGTAGGAGATGGTAGCCCAAGCTCCGGCGGTCTGGGCAGCTGGAGGGAGGTACCGGGGAAGTGGCGGTCGTCTACGCTTGTAGGCTGCTCAGCACCTGCAGCATCCGGAGAGCAGACGATGCAGGTCCAGCTCAGCAACAACG